ATAGAAAATATCGCTTTAAAAAAAAAAAAAAAACACCTAAACTTCAGAGTGTTGGTGAGTAGTTCACATTTTGGGGTATAATATATGTATTTCAAATGAGCCGAATTACACATATAAGAAAAGCATTTCAAATCTGCCAAGAAGTTTTGCTTTACATTAAATACTAGATTTGTTTCTTTATTACTGGATTGACACTGGTTACACTGTCACAGTCTGTGAGCCAAAAGGGTGACCCCTCCTAAAATCTAAGGTTTTGCTTTGCGCTTTAACATATTTTTTTTCTCAGAATATTAGCGTTACAGATTGGCAACTCATTTTTTAATGCAGAAACTCTTCCTCTTAAAGACGTTTTATCTCTAGAAGTTAAAAAAGCACTCTCTCGCTGTTGGTATTAGTATGCACGTCAGGCCCTGTCATTGTAGTCCCTTATTACTAGGAGTGATTGCGCATGTGGCTTTCATTTGACACGAGCACAGCCAGTTACGTACTGATGAGTGCGGAACAGTAAGCGGTAGTAAGTACAAAGTGGCTCATAGTAGCTAGTTGCACAGTAGGTGCTTTGTGCACATTAGGGCCTTTCACCTTGATGTAAACTGTTAGCTCCACTCTGTAGATGGGGGAAGTAAAGCTCAGAGAGGTTAAGTGACTTGACTGAGAGCATGCAGCTGTTCCTAAAGGGTGTTAATAAGTTGGGATTTAAACCTACACAGTTTCATTCTAGAACTCTTCCCTTAGTTTGCTATTTTATGGAAATAAAAATAGTGATAATACAAAGTAGTGAGAAAATGAAAAATTAGGACGTACCACTCTGGAGTAAGGATGATTCTGTAGGTTAAAGAGCAGATAACATAGCAGATGAAAATTGCTCTGCCTCTGTAATCGCCATAGCAGTCAGAGAGGAAGAAGCATTCTGAGGGCACAGGTAGATCATTGTCACTGAGGTACCTGTTAATGGGGACACTAGCTCTGGAGAAGGCCGAGTGTGCGAAGATGACGGTGCGTTGCCTGTCACGCTGCAGCTGCCTTCTAGGTTGTCATGGACAGGTGTGGGGTCATGGCAGGTGTCAGGACCGCTCTGTGGGTGTCCTCCCCAGCAGCCTTGCAGAGAGGAATGAGGAGGGCCGCTTTCTGCCGCAGATTTCTTCAGCGTAGAAGAGGCTGGGTGGGGAGATTGCCGTAGGGGACGAATGAGCAAAGAGGTGAAAGATCTGTCTGATGTTTAAAGGTGTGGCAGGCCCACGCTTTGGTTTCGTGGAAAGTCTCTGGGGGCGACAGGTGAACGGCTGGCAGTCTCTCTGGCCTCTCAGGCACTGTGGCAGCCTTTGTGAACGCTCTCTGCCGGTATTTGGAACTTTCGGACTGGCAGTAGACAGGTCTTAGGCTGAAAGCAGCCTTTCTGTTTGCAGCATTATTAGGCTTACCAGCCTCAAAGCACACATTTATAAACAGAATGGGTCCAATTTGTTCATTGTAGTCGTTAAGGAATAAATTGGTACTCGCATTGTTTAATTAGGTTCTTGAAAAATCAAATCACATTTTTAACACTGGTTAACTTTGAGATCCATGGTCTTTTAAACTTAGAATGACCAATTCTTCTATTTACGTTTTGCTATATATTGATGGAAATGAAATACTGCATGGTTTTCACTGTTACTTATGAACTTTAAGAGAGTGAGCCTAGGTGTTTGAGCAGAGGAGTGGACTAAACTACGTAGTAGGTTAAATACATTTTTATATTATGACCTGTTTTTATGTTATATCATTTACTATTTTGACATTTCTCTTCGCAATTAGACATTAAAATTTTTTTTCCAGTTTTACTCAAAAGAAGGATTGGCCTGAATTTCCTAGATTTTATTTTTAAAAATTATTTAATTTTATTCATCATTATCATTATTATTTAATTTGACCATAGAGAGAAAGGGGGGTAGTGAGAAAGCAAGCTGCCAGGTCTGGGACTCAAATCATGATCTGCCGTGTGGGAGTCTAGCGGGTCAATCACCATGCTACCTGCTGGCCTCCTAGATATCTTTCGAAGGTGGACATTAGAGATTGTTGATCTGAGTTGATGTTGACTTGACGTATTGATTTTAAAAAATTTTTTAAACAGTATATGGGAAAAGACTCTGTTATGCCATTTAATATAAATTATGCTGTTTCCATTTTATCTGTCTTAGAAAGAGTCTTTTGGGGAAGCGATTTTTGCTATAGGGTACATGTGCTTGTAGGAGAGACAGAGAGATGGGGAGAGAGAAAGTGAGAAATCCCCACCACCCCACCCCCACCCCTGGTGGGGGGATGGCCAGGCCGCAGTCCCTTCTCCTCTCAGGATTTTGAGTGTATCCAGGCCTGGCATGAGTTTCAAGCTGCTGGGTCTGGTACTTGAACTGCAGTTGGCCCTGTGGGAGTCTAGGCAGTGCCTTAACCACTATGCCACCTGCTAGCCTATAAGCAAGAATCTTAAAAGCAGTTGAATCAGGTTATGGAAATATTCTTTTTTTCTTTTGGAGAGGTTTTCACTATAGGGTGCATGCGCTCGCACTTGCCACAAAGACAGAGACAGAGAAACAGAAAGTGAGAAATCACCCCCCGGGGGGGATGGCCACACAGCAATCCCTTCTCCATTCTCCTCTTGGCATCTTGAACACGCACGCACACACGCCTGATATGAGTTTAAGCCACTGGGTCCAGGGCTCGAACCGCGGTCAACATGGGAGTCCAGAGACATAGACATATACGCCAACTGCTGGTTCCTTCATTTTTCTTAACAGACAAATACCATTTTGTATGGTGGGATTGATTTACAGGGCTGCTAAACAGTTCTAGGGCCAATTTCTAATATTGGTATCAAAGAAATGTGAAATATTAATTAGGTCAGCTCCATAGCTTGGTGGTTAAGGCAGCAGGATACCATATGGTTGGCCATACAGTTTGAGTCCCAGACCTGGCAACTTGATAAACACACTGGGCATGTGTGCCCAACATCCCAAAAGGGGCTGACAGGTGGTGTGCTGCTTAAGGGTGCTGAACTCCCACATGGTCAACCATGGTTCAAGTTCTCTCTAGATAGCACATGTGCCTTCTAGCAAAAACAAACAATATATATTTGTATATACATATATAATATATGTGTGTATGTATGTATATATACATACGTGTGTATATATGTGTGTATATTTGTTTAGAATATATTATAAAATTTAATTGTAGCCTTAAAAAAATTAGCATCAGCCCAGAGGATTTTTTTTTAATAGAAATTTTTGCTATAAGGCATGTATGCTCAATTAGGGGAGAGAGAGAGATAAAAAGCAAGAAATCACCCCCCAGGGAGGATGACTACATTGCAATCCCTTCTCCTCTGTTGTCCTCTCAGGATTTGGGCACACATGCACACGTGTCAGGCATGGGTTTGAAGCCGCCTGGTCCAGGACTTGAATCATAGTTTGCATGTGGGAGTCCAGCAATGTAGCCATTACACCATCTGCTGGTCCCCAACCTAGTGTTATTTAAGTGCAGTTTTTTTTTTTGTTTGTTTGTTTTTTGAGAGGTTTTTGCTATAGGGCGCGTGCGCTTGCCAGACAGAGAGAGACATAGAGACAGAAAGTGAGAAATCACCCCCCAGGGGGGATGGCCACGCTGCAATCCCTTCTCCTCCATTCTCTTCTCGGGATCTTGGGCACGCGCGCACATGCGCCCGGCATGAGTTTTAAGCCACCGTGTCCGGGAACCACGGTCGACTACGTAGGAGTCCAGCGACATAGCCGTTACGCTAACTGCTGGTTCCCCTTAAGTGCAGTTTTAACTAGAAATACATTTACCTTTTTGAGGTCTTTTGCAGTCTAGGATATGATATTTTTGTGTTTCTGTTCAATTTGTCTTTGAAATTAAAGTAATATTAATGTGATAGACCATGTTTTCTTTTAAGTGGTTACTTTTAATTTTTATCTGTTGCTTCACCTTTGTAGGAGGGGATCGATGCTCAGCACAGCCATATTTGTCTATGCCGCCACATCTCCAGTGAATGGTTATTTTGGAGGAAGTCTGTATGCTAGACAAGGAGGTAACTTATGACTTATTGCTTTGTATTTTTAATTATAAATGCTAATATTTTATGGTGAAGTATTTGGAATTTGCAAGGGGCAGTACAGCCATTGTAAAACCCTTCATTATCCCATTTCACATCATCCCCATAGTCTATTATGTGTTCTATCTTGTTTTTATGTAATCTTGCATTTTATTTCTTGTAATTACAAATTGTTTATAGATCACCTTTATTATCTACTATGAAATTAGGCCGGAGGAACTTACATGAGAGTTCATTTAAGTAATTGGTATTACTGTGTTCGAGGTGCTGAGCTCCCTGGACATGCTCCCCATGAGGTCTCCATGCAGAGAGTAGCTTCCTAGATGAAAAAGAGGGCACTTATGGGCTTATGGGTAAAGTTGCTAGCGAGTGGAAGGAGAAAAACAGCAGAGAGCTGTTGACTCTTTTTTTTTTTTTTTTTGAGAGATATTTTCTCTGTAAGGCACGTGCTCGCCAGACAGACAGAGAGAGACATAGAGACAGAAAGCGAGAAATCACC